AAATGCCTACCATGGGGCATGTCCGTTGAAAAACAAGACCGGCAACAGAAGTGCACCATCGTGGAATAAAACGTTAGCCAAGCTAAGAGTCAAATCCCGGAGACTCTTCAAGAAGGCAAAAACCAACGGTGAATGGGACAATTATAAAAATGCCCTCACCGCCTACAATAAAGAAATTAGAAGGGCAAAAAGAGAATCATGGAGAGGCTTTTGCTCAGAGATTCAAAACTTAAGCAGTAGCGCAAAAATCCACAGGGTTATCTCGAAAAGCCACACTAATCCCATTGGGCTTCTAAAACGACCTGATGGTCTTTATACCAATGACTGCAAAGAGTCACTTATACTTCTAACAGAAGTACACTTTCCGGGATCTACAATTTACGACCAATCAATCTCCCAGCTTAGTTCCCTGGTGACCAAAAGGCCCAGGAACAATGACTGGAAGATTGCTCGTAAAATCTTCACTGAAGATAAAATGAGCGATCAACTCATTTTCTCCTTTCAAAGCCCCTGGAGCAGACGGAATATTTCCAGCACTCCTACAAAAGGGACTAACTCACCTTATGCCCTACCTTATTAATATCTTTAATGCAGGGCTGGCGATGGGAATCATTCCCACTAATTGGAAGAAAGTAATTGTCAAATACATACCTAAAGGAGGAGGTAAACCTATCGAACTTCCTAAATCCCATAGGCCTATAAATTTGACTTCATTTCTTCTAAAAACCATGAAGAAGATAGTGGAAAGATATATAAGGGATGAGTATTTATCTATAAATCCACTCCACGCCAACCAGTATGCCTACCAACAAAATAAAACAACCACACATGCATTACTCAGTGTCACTAATAAAATACAAGAGTTTGTAGACTGCAAAGAATTTGCGGTGGGTTGCTTTCCTGATATTGAGGGAACGTTTGACAATACCAATCACTCACATATCGAAAGATGCCTCCATCACAGAGGAGTCGATAATACGACACGCACATGGATAAGCAATGTCCCAAGAAATAGGTTGGTTAATTCCACTCTCGGCATTCACGAAATTAAAGCGCATACTGAAAAAGGATGCCCACAAGGGGGTGTATTATCCCCACTCCTGTGGTCAATTGCAGTGGACGAGCTTTTGCATCGACTCAGTGCCAAACATTTCGAGGCACAAGGCTATGCTGACGATATAGTCTTACTTCACAGGGGTGAATATGAAAACATGATCTCATATCGAGTACAGCAAACACTGAAAATCGTAACTAGATGGTGCAGTGATGTAGAATCAAATGTAAACCCTAAAAAAGCAAGTCTGGTTGTCTTCACAAAGAAAAGGAAAAGAGTACTTTTCAATAACCCATTCCTGAATGGAGAAGAGCTATCAGCCGTTACCCAGGTAAAGTACCTGGGAATGATTCTGAATGAGAAATTGACGTGGAATTCTCATGTGGACAATGTTATACGAAGAGCCAGAGAGGCATTATGGACCAGCAGAAGCCCTACTGGTAAGCACTGGGGCCTTAATCTAAAACTCAGCCTTTGGATGTACATATCTATTGCTAGCCCAATTGTTACTTATGGGTCATCTATCTGATACAAGAAAGCTCAGCAGAAGAATGTGATAGACAAGCTTCGTAAGCTGCAGAGATTAACCAGCATAATGACAAGTGGAGCGATGAGAACTACCCCGACAGCAGCCCTAGAGGTTGCATTGGAGCTCCCCCCACTTCACCTACTAGTCAAAAAGGAAGCAATGACTTTTATTGCCAAGCTACAGTTGACTAGCAATCAATCAACAAGACTACTCGATAACTCCGTGTTAGGTAGGGAAATGCAAAGAGAGGAAGGACTAAACATCACCATATCTGACATTTGCTTACCTAAATTCAACTTCCACCAAAAGTTCCTAATACTAATACTAGACAGAAATTAATGGGAACGGAACATACCTCCATTCGCTGGGGACTACCATCTGTGGTACATGGATGGCTCCAAAACTATGAAAGGAGTGAGAGCGGGAGTATATGGAGTAAAACCTAAAGAGGAAATATTTGCGAGTATGAGTAAAGAAAACTCAGTTTTTCAGGCTGAAGTACACGCAATTGAACTATATCTCAGGATATATAAAGGAAAACCTGTCACAGGAAAAAACATATATATCTTTTCTGACAGTAAATCAGCACTCTTAGCACTACGCTCACCTCAAGTAACCTCAAACCTAGTGTGGGCATGCCTTCTACTTCTCAAAGAGCTTACTGAAAGGATTAAAGTCCACTTAATATGGATTCCAGGGCACAGCGGATTTGAGGGAAACGAAAAAGCAGATGAACCACCGAGAAAAGGGGCGGCCTCATATTATATTGGGCCACAACCACTCTGCGGTTCTTCGTGGCGCTTTTTCAAACTTTAAATTAATGAGTGGCTGGAAAGAGCAGCTCAGACTGATTGGGATAATACAATTACCTGCAGACAAGCTAAAGAATCCATGCCGTTTCGATCAAAAACCAGAACTAGAGAGCTACTTATGCTGAACAGAAGTGGTATCCGACTTGTCACAAGATTCCTCACTGGGCACTGCGGAGTTAAAAAGCATCTTTTGAACCTAGGTGTTACTGGAGACGATAGCTGTAGACTTTGTTGCGAAGATGATGAAACAGCAGAACACGTTCTGTGTCACTATGATAGTCTAACCAGATTCAGACTCCGGTACTAATCCACTGCCTATCCACTTATAACGGAATTAGGCAACATTTCTCCAAAGGACATATTAGCATTCTTAACTGCTACTTGTCTATGGAACTGAAGTGGGTATGTCACAATAATCCTCAAAGGATGCAGTGACGTGGTGACAAGTTCTTAACCCATTTTAAAAATCTAATATAATGTAAATCGAGGTGGCTCTGACCTAAAAGTGAAGTAAGACCGCAAAACTGATATATTATAGTTGCAGATAAGATTCCTTTTTCTATGTGCGGTATCATATAAATGTAAAGAAGAAATGAATTAATGGGAAAAATATGTGTTCTATTTAATCGTTTTTCAAAAGTAAACTAACAAAGAAAGACACAGTGTGGATATGAGCACTAAGGTCTCTCAATGTCCATTTAACACAACAGATCAGTTAAAGTGTAAGTTTGACATAGTTTTTCTATAGCCGCAGGGTCTAAGCTCTAGAAAATATTACTTAACAGTCGCTAATATTTGTTCCAAAAAACATTACACATATGTTTGGGAGTTCTTTGTCTTCAGGGATTTTCTTTATAATCACCACTCAGTTTGTTTTATTTTGCAATCAATCCGTACTCAACGAAATTATTAAATACGTTATTGACATAGTTTTAATGATTGCTTTATTAATGTATATAATCTCAATTCAAAGATAAATGTCAATTTTTTGGAACGGGCCAAATAAGGCCTTCGAATCTTATTTATTTGATTGATTCGTGTTTTTGACAATTGGAATCATAATTACACAAATATTACACAACTTTATTAGAACCCTAAAATTATGCTATAATATTATCTAAATTGATGGCTCCTAAGCCAATTTGAACAAATTAGACTATACTGCCTATACTTAAAAAACGAAAACTACCTCTAAACCACAAAATAAGTACAGTAAATGTATGGTTTATGAGACAAAATAGTATATTTTTGTTTCATTCTTATGTGAAAATCAGAATACACTACTTTTTAGCACATATTTGGTATATTATCGTATGTCCTTGTTCTTTATTGACTGCTGTCATTTCTGCCTAACAAAAAACGGAGTTTTGAGAACTGATATTACGAAAAGCGATCCATCCCTACGAAATTTTATAAAAGCATGTGCCTATGTAATAATACACAAGAGGATTCACTTTTAATCAAGTCTCTAGAAGAAGCCACTTTTAAAAGTTTTAAAAATAGTGAATTGGTTAAGAATATGTTGGATGATACTTTTACTAACTAAACCATAAAAAATATTTTATAAAATACAATGAAAATCAAAACCCTGTTTTTCATAACACATACATCGAAAAACCCCAATTGACACTATTAATAATGTGTTGATGGCAACAACAAAAAAACGAGACCTACTACTATATTTAATAAAGCAATTTTATGGGTTAATTACACTGCACATCCCAATTATTTTAAGACTCTCCCTTATATACAACGTGGAGAAAACTAAAGGACGTCGTAAAATATAATTAATTGATGTGAGTTCTAAAAAAATTGTAATGCAAAGTTTCTCCGTTACTTTTGGGTATATACTCTAAGATACTCTTGATTAAGCTGAAGCTATTATTCCCGAGCTGAGCAATTCTAAATATATATATATATATATTATATATTTAAAGTCCATTTTATCTTAGTTTGCCCAAAAAGCTATTTAAAATTAAATAGTTGGGATTTTTTATTTGACAACAATTCGTTATATCTAAATGTTTTCTTAAACATTTGTACTATAAAACTAGAGTAAACAAAACTTTAAATTAATTATTTTCAGCTGGAATAGAAATGAGATAATTTTCCTCAAAGAAAGAAACAATTATAAATTAGAAAAATTTGCTTGGTATATTATACTAAAATTATTATGAATTATTATGAATTAGTGGTGAGTGTTACATTTCAAATTTACAAGAGAGATCCTTAGATACACTCTTAGTGCTGCACAAATTGAAAGTAAAATTTTTCTATGTCATCAGCGGAAATCCATATTCGATCGGAATAATAAATTAGTTGTATAAGCAATTTATATTATATTATATGGGACAATTCTTTAAGCAAAGAAAGACTGCATTACATTCTCTTCCTACGCCGCAATAATAAAGAAAGCATACCAAAAGCACCTCTCCACCAATAAACTGAAGTGGAAAAGAAGCTACGAGCAATAATCGTGATCAGCTGAGGCAATAAAATCTTATGAGAGCTTTTCGTCTACTCTCAAGCGCTTTTTTGCATATTTAATTTCAGTTTCATTTCTTCTTTTGAACGCATCGGTTCTGTTCAGGAAAGTTGGTTAGTCCTCAATTTGAAACCATTGTTTATATCTCAATTGTAAAGTTTATTCTTGACTTTGTCTTTTTTTTATGATAAAAGTGAATTTATTTTAAAACGTAATTTTGACTCGCTTTCGAGATGAACGCAAATGTTGGTTTTATAGAAAAATTGCGATGGCGTTTAAAGTAAGTTTTTATTATATGGAAATACGTACTTGTCTATATGTACACATGTTTGTATATAAATATATAAGATATACAGAAATGTTATATGCCTGAGATAAGCAAAATATGCAACTAATTGAATTAAAAATCTGATGTCTGCTGATTTGGATCATAATATTTTTATCTTAATACTAACAAAATAAAATTTCGTGAATCTTATATTATTTCAGCAAAAATAATTGAATTAAAAAAATTTAATCTTTTTTTAAGAATTCAAATGAAATAAATTATTATTAAAATATTATTTATATATTATGATGTTAGTTTAACAAAAAAGAAAAATATCCTTATTTTGACTAAATGTCTATTAGATATATAGCACTTTGTTTAATAATACGTTGTACCAATAAACAAAAATAAATTAGATTTTTTATATTAAATTGTATGATAAATTTTATTTTTATTCCCCTCATTTTTAGAATTTCGCTCATTTAGAACGCAACTTAGCCTAACTCGCACTTATTAATATTAATACAGAAGTCAATTTTTAACTACTTATTACTAGTCACCTCGTTGTCTGGGAGAAAACCAGTTCAGATCTAAGTACAACAGGTCCAAATTAATTTTACACTTATATAATAATAAACACAATTAAGTGTCAGATATGTTCTGTAATCTTAAGTTGTACCCCTAGGTTAATCACTTTAGAGCTTCCTATCTGCTTATGTCATTGCTAGAAATTGCTTGTTTTTAAGTTTACGGATTTTAAGTAATAAAAAAATGTGACGATAAGACGTACTACTAATATTAATATAAGAATTCCATACACATAGTATTTGAAATTTATAATTTATAATTCGAATGTAGAAGATAATTATATTCTATATAAAATTATGCAAAAAAACTAATTTGAAAAATCTGCGTCAAGATGTCGCCACAATTTTTTAAAATTTGAGCTATATCTGTTGCCCATTATGCGTGCATCTGTTCATTTTAAATTCCACTTTTGGGTGGAATTTGAAAATCTGGTTAAGAGCAATCACCTGTCAAAGCCTCGTGTAATTTCTCTTTAGATTCCTATACACAATCTTTTATTTCTATACACAATTCGAAACTGATTGGTGCCAATGATGACCTGGACAGAAAGGATGTGGATGGAGAGAAAGAAAATACCGCAATCAACCTACGAGTTTTAGAGATCTTGCTGTACATTGTTTTCAAAAAGGCAAAATAAATATTATTCGAAGCATTCTATTCTAAAAATTGTTACATTCGTCATATATGAGTACCATAATTCTGATAATATGTAAATAGAAAGAGTCGATATATAATATAAATTTTTAATAAATAAAAATATGTAAATGAAAAGACAACAACAAAATTTTGGTTAATTTATTGAAATTTGACTGACCATACAACGCGGCTTCAAGTATTGCCAAGTACTCATCATTAGTGCAGTATTTAGTATTAGGAAGTATTCGAATTTTTTTTTAATTTGTTATGTTTATATGTTAAATTCTAAATAACATGTTAAATTCTGCAAATTAAATTTGCAATATATAAGCAATCACTGATGTTGGTTTCAAATGTCTTAGGCCTCATTAAAAAGCTTTCAAAATAAACATTTAATAAGAAACTATCTGCTATGTGATAACCTTGAAAAATGTATTAAAATTCAGTATTATTGCTGATATACGATTATCTTAAAAAATGGAAAATATCATTTTAAAATTGTGATTATAAAGGTTTATTTTTCTATGTGAAAGAAGGCATAAAGTTCAGTTACAAATCGATTATTTAGAACAAAAAAAAATTGAATAGATGACGCATCAATTTTGTTCATCAGATTTGCTATTAAAAGATTATTTTGTTTACAGTTTATCAGCGAAAACATGCTTAGAAGGCATTTTCACCAGAACTTTCTGTAGAGGACTGTAAGAGACATGTTTTTGCGATTAATGTTTAGGCAGAATTACTAAATTTGTTTATTTTCAAATTTTTAATACTGTTTTAATTGCATACTACATATTTTAATAGAGTAATTATTTCTCTATTAGAATATCTGGAGAGTTTGTTAAAATCATTTTTTTGTAATTTTTATATAACTATAACTATATAATGCATTAGCTACTTAAACACTTTGAAGAAAGTATCGTTTGTGTTTAAAAACTGGTACCAAGATTGGGACGTACTTCTTCTAAAACGAAAAAACCGGAATTTTAAAATGAATGTCGCCTTATACAAAATAAACCAAAACGATTAATAATTTTATGTATGAAAGAAAATGCTCTAGAATACTTTTGATTTAAATGAGATTACTACTAGTACATTACTACAGTAATTTTAATATTGTTAGAAAAATGGAAGCACAAAGGGTTTTATCAAAAGGTGTCATCTCCAGAAAATGTGCCATGGCATCTTTTAGCATGTATTATGAATTTATTTGAAATCATTAACAATAATAATAATGCCAGTCTTAAAAGTGAATATAAAATGCATCAATCGTAGGATACAGCTTTTAATATTTGCTAAAGTTAAAGCACCAGAACATCTGCTCCGCAAAATGAAGAGAACAAACAGAAACAAAAGAATAGTCGGAACCGTTTAGATAGGAACAAATTTATCCGTATGGGCAACAAAACTACCACAGAAAACAAACTGCCTACACTTAATCGGGATTAAAGTAGAATCGAAATCTTTGACATTAAACAGTAATGAGAAGAGAGGGCTTCATTGCTTTAATTACAAAAAACAAATTTATGCAAGCTATGATATGCCGGGAAATACCTAGAATTTTAAAAAAGTTATGGGAAAGTATATAACAATAGTTTTTAATTCTTGAATATATTACATATTCAATTTTTGTTGAAAGTTTTTTATTTTTAAAAGTATTCTTATACGTTCTACTCATCATGAACAAACACCAGTATTTATTTAATTATTATATATGAGTATTAAAATATTATAAACTTATAAAACTTCAAAATCAAACTTAAGATCTTTACACCTTGAAATTAATGTCTTTAAACTGAATGTGTGTAATATTCTAAGTACTATCATTTTAGGATTATAAACAATATTAAGTTATTATGACTTAAGATAATAATCATATTGGTCAAAATATTATTTTGTTTCTCTCGAAGTTTGATAGGAAGTTATATCTTTACTATTAGTACCACATGAGTACAAATTGAACGTATATATTTCTCTGTTACGAGTATTAAAAACGATGAATTTTTAGTAATTTGATTTGAATATGTGTATCGTTGTAAAGAACTATTTATTACAATGTCACTTCATATGCAAATCATATGCAAATGTAGTGAAATATAAAACAATTTTTTTACATATGTAAATTGTTACCATTCATTATTGTGGAATTTCCCTACTCCAAACGCAAACTGTTTGGAATCGATGCGTGCATTTAATAAAATATTATTCACAGCTCAGTTTATTTAAAATGCACTTCATCTATTCCGATGCATTTTAGATATTATTAAATACCCACATCTATGCATTCACTTTTCCTTCAGTTATTGCCTCATTGCGGTACAATGCTCAGATGTGTCATGCATGGTTTGTTGTTGTTTCATAAAATGCGGTTTAGCTAAGTGGGTACTAACTACAGCTGTTGAGGCTGCGGTCTGGAGGCACTTAAGTGAGATACACATCGCATATTTCGATGTTGCATTAAGGCGGGTGAAATATTAATACCTAACTGCGATGTTAAGTTCTGAACTACGCTACGTTAATTAATAAAATTTAACGAATTCGTTGTCTCGCATTAAATCAAAATATTTGATTAAATTTGATTAAATATAAGACGAGTGCTCGTTTGCTGCTGATGCTTTTATTATGTGTGGTTTTGTTAATGATATAATAGAAATACTCTAAAAATAGTTTGTTATTATTCAGGTCGGATGTATTAATTATAAACAAAATGAAACCATATCAAGTGATGATGGGAAAGTAAAATATAATAAATTCACTTAATTCATTCTTATGGCATTGCTATCATTATGAAATATTCTATTAATACTACACCACCGTTTATTAACAATATTATATGTCGTAGAAGAATTTTACGCATTTACGCATACGCATTTTACTGTGTTAAGAGTATCTGAAAATATTATACAAAACATACGAAACATTCTTTTGCAAATTTTAATTTACGGCCCCAACCAACTTGAAACACTTTCCTTAAAATTGAAATTTTAGCTAGCAGACCAAAAATCAGTCACAGAAACTATACCACGTGAATACAATTCCTAGTTGATCACTTTTGACGATTTCTTAACCCAAAACATTTGCCCAACGATGACTTTGTGCCAACCAAAACCAAATAGAAATATAAGCGTAAACACAAGTAATGTTAAAAGACTGATTAATAATCAAATCTCGCAATATAACACAGTTTAGTACAAATTAAAAGAATCATATTATTAAATATAAATAATTATTAAATATAAATTTAATTTTTGTACATATTTATAAATATGTAATTATTTTTACTGGTGCGATTTTAATTTTCCGTTTCGCCATATGACAATTTAGCGTAAAAGAGTTAGTTATTTTAGACACCTTTTTCCACAAAACTTCTAGAGATATTGACGTTTAAAATTTCAATTTCTTTATTTTTATTACACTAACAAAAAATACAAATGCAAGTGCTTCTTTTCATTGTTACTACTATTACTATAATGTTGCATTCGCAATGCAACCCAGATATACATTATATCCAGTATTGAACTTATATTACATTTCTTTATGCGATATGCGATGCTGACTTAGCTACTTCGTCCGTTTATGCATCAGTACCAGGCAAACTTCGAGTAATTTTTAATTATTATGTTACCATTCAATTATAGTTAAAATATTTATATAGTTTATCTTTAAACTTACGATATAGTCGACTGTCATCGTCCAATATATACAATTTATACATTGATTGCACAAACTTCTAGTAGCATCTAGCTCATTTACTTATTATTGGTAGTTTGCACATAAAAAAATATTCTACCCCAAAAAATGAAATATTAAAAACAGAGCTATATTGGCATATGGCGGGGTGAAAGCAGTTGGTAAAAATACCTGGTTTTACTAAAATCTGTTGTTGAATGAACGTGACCCGAAACCAAGATCGCACCGTATCACATTGTTGATAGTTTGATGTAATTAATAAGTTTTCTTTTTTTCTTTTCTTTCTTTAAATATAGAACATTTGAGTATAAAGTCTCACAATATCGCCATACAACTAACGAAACAGAAGTTGCTGACACCGAATATGGAAAAATCAGGGGTATTAAGCGTACAACAATCTACGATGAACCCTACTACTGCTTTGAGGGCATACCGTATGCACAACCACCATTGGGTGAGCTCAGATTCAAAGCACCACAACGTCCAACACCTTGGACTGATATTAAAGATTGCACAAACACCAAAAACAAACCAGTTCAAATTAACTTTGTATACAACAAAATTGAGGGTTCGGAAGATTGTTTATATCTCAATGTTTATACCAACAATGTAAGAAATTAAATAAAAACTATAAAGTAAAAAAATAATAATTTTTTTTCACATTAGTTAAGTCCTGAAAAACCACGCCCTGTGATGGTTTGGATACATGGTGGTGGTTTTCAAATGGGTGAAGCACATCGTGATTATTATGGACCAGATTACTTTATGAAAAAAGACGTTGTTTTAATAACTATACAATACCGTTTAGGAGTTTTTGGTAATTAAATTTCCCCTTAAATATAAAAAATGTTGAAGGATTTCCTTTATCTTTATTAAAATAGGTTTCCTTAGTCTGAGTGCTATCAATTTAAACGTCCCAGGTAATGCTGGTTTGAAGGATCAAGTATTAGCGCTTAAATGGGTAAAAAATAATTGTGCTCGCTTTGGTGGTGATCCAGATTGTATAACAGTTTTTGGACAAAGTGCCGGTGGTGCCTCTACACATTTTATGGCAATTACTGAGCAAGCACAAGGCTTATTCCATCGCGCAATTTTAATGTCTGGTAATGCCACTTGTTGTTGGGCTGTAGATGATCGTAGAAGACATGCCTACACACTTGCAAAACTGGCAGGATATACTGGTGAAAATAATGAAAAAGATATTTTGCAATTTTTGTTAAATGCCAAAGCCAAGGATTTAAAAAGACTTGAAGAAAAGGTGCTCTCTTCTGAAGATCGACAACATAGAGTGATGTTTGCTTTTGCACCCACAATAGAGCCATACAGAAGCGCTGATTGCGTTATACCTAATGATCCTAAAGATATGATAAAAACAGCTTGGGGGAACTCAATACCAATTATGCTAGGCTGTACTTCACAGGAAGGTCTATTGTGGTTGCCAGGTAATTCCCACAACTAATTACTTAATTTTAATTAATTTATATTTTTTATTTCAAAACATAATAGAAACCAAAGCCTTTCCAAATGTTATTAAGGATTTAGAGACTTGTGTTGATTTTGTGCCACGAGAGTTAGCTGATCCAGAACGCAGCAGTGATGACACCAAAGAAAAGGGTCTCATTCTTAAAAAAGCACATGTGACTGCGGAATCGCCAACTGCCGAGAACTATTTTGATGTAAATATAACTAGTTAATACTTACATTTTTAAAGAAATCAATGTTTTTTGTTTTGTGAATAATAGGTTTGTGCACATAAATATTTCTGGTTCCCATTGCATCGTATAGTGCAGTCATATTTCGCACATGCCGCTGCAACACCGGTGTTTCTTTATCGGTTTGATTTTGATGCTGATGAGATTATAAACCCCTATCGTATAATGCGTGATGGTCGTGGTGTTAAGGGTGTTTCCCACGCAGATGAGTTAACTTATCTCTTTTTCAATATGCTTCACCATCGCTTGCCCAAAGACAGTTCATCCTATCGCACTATCGAACAAACTGTTGGTATTTGGACACAATTTGCTGCCACCGGTAATCCTAATAATAAAGATATACCCGGAATGGAAGCAGTGACTTGGGAACCTTTAAAGATCGGTGAGGAGGTTTACAAATGTCTTAATATAAGTGATGAATTGAAGATGATTGATTTGCCCGAAATGGAGAAAATGAAAATTTGGGAAAGCCTTTATGATAAGCAAAAGGAATTATTCTATTAATTAATTCTTTATCATTTATGTAAATTTATTATTACAAAAACCGAATTTATTACAATTTGACTGTTAATCGCTTACTTTAATTGCTGCGCATATATTTCTACTTATTTATATCAAATACATATTTTAATACTTTTTAAAAACTAATTATAATAATTTTCTTATACTGAGGTTATATAAATCCCTGATATCCTAGATTACTTACGAGATTAGATAAATACTAATAAATATAAACTATATGAAAATCATCACATAAGAAAAGTACTCTATACTGCACAAATAATTTTGTGTTTTCCTAATCTCAACTGAAAGAAGATATTTTTCGAACTAAATATGCATTACGTATCCACCTTTCATTAACAGGTTTTAAGAGAAATTTAAAAATATTAATATTATAATATCTTACAATCAAACAAACATGTTTGCTACCATCTGGCATTTGTAAGAGATGGTAATTTTCTGAGTTGTTTGTCTTAGGCATGAAAGATATAGATTCTTTCATTGCAGTAACCAACTAGTTTCTAAGGCTTTAGAGCAATAGTTTTTCTTTTGTATTCGTACAATTCAAGTGTCTATAAATATTTTTTACGAAAGAAAAAGGTTATGTTTACTTATAGAAGGCTTATAGAAAATTATCGTATTTAGTAATATTATATATTGTATACATGTCATGCTACCAATAGTATCAGTCTATATTTCAATTTATTATTGCTTACGAGTTACACATTTACATGATTACAAGTTTTGTCAGTGTAACATAGTTGATATATGAATTCGATTTAATATTAAGAACAATGGCAGTCTAGGAAACCAACGAGTAATAGATAACTGAAAATAGCGCCTTCTTTCAACAAAAGAAAAACACGCCCTACAAGTCATATACCATACCTGTTGTGGTGGTAAAAAGCCTTGAAAAATGATCAATAGTGATTAAAAGGAATGTATGTGCTGGCAACTTGTACCGAATTAATGGGAATATTCATGTACATGTCCTGCAAATAGATAAAAGTTCTGCCTGGAAAAATACTTGATTCCGTTGTTACTACTAAAATATGTGGTCTTCAAGGTAATGAATAATAAGAAGTCACTTGCTACCATGAACCAGTGGCAGCAAGTTTCTGAAAGACCTCACTGCCGGAACTTACTGAAAAGGATCTCAAAAGACTGAAAAATACCTACCGAAAATAAATATGTCATCGGTTATGACGTGAATTATTCAGACCAGATTCTTCTAAATTTTCAAATCTTCTAAATTTTCAATTCCTACTTCAAAAAATGAGTAGCATTCTTTACAATATTCAAATAACAGTCTTAACAATACATAAATACTCTTTAATAGTGTAGATGTTATTTTCAAAAATGTATCATTTTATCCGAATAAATAAATTTTAAATGCTTAAACATCTGAAGTTGAGTTTATTGAGGACTATTCTGTTAAAATAATTTTAGACTACAATTCATATTTATATCTTTTTAAAGACTGTCTTATAAAACAAAAATTTATAATAAAATTTAGATTCAATACAAAATAATTACCATACATTTATAGAGCATATAATGTAGGCAGAATATACTCAACTCATTTTAATCCATTTTAATCCAAAAAATATAAAATTAAGTCCAGAACAGTTTCAAATTTCAACTTATCATAGAATATTTATTTATATTTATTTAAACAAAAAAATTTATTTAAATTTATTTAAAAAAAAAAAAATGTTAATACGATTTTATACATTTGAGTATCTATTATTATATTGTTTTAACCTATTATTTTAAAAACTAAACGGAAGCTATTCATAGCCGTCATACTATTATTAACTCAGTTTCTATTGCACTTTCATAAAATATTAATATGTAATATTGTATGTTTGCTTTTATTGCTGACTAAATAATTAATAACAAATTTAGAATCGTATAATTAAGATGTAATATATATTAATTAATATAAATTTTCATTGTGATGATAAACACAAATAACACTATATAAAGCTATGCAACAGAGATTTCAGTCATGAAAATCAATTTAATGGGGAAATAATTGTAATTTTAATTATCATGATGAAAAACAGTTTTTTTTAGATGGATTCTGATTTGTTGTATAACGTATATAATTACTGAATTTTTATCTGAACCTTAATCTTAAAAAGAATGATTTCTTTATTTGATGAATATAAAATCGATAAGAGTTGACAGTATGAAATTTTAGTATACAATAATGTAAGCGACATCTGCTCAGTTATTGTCTATCAGCTGGGCCGCCATTTTAGTAGAAATTGATCTGCAGTCTTCTTTCTTAAAGTAAGATCTTCCTTAGAAAACTTAATGCCACATTAATACTTTATATTGGTTTCAAATTGGTTGTTAGAGTTCTAGATGATACTAACGATCTACTACGGTTTATATGTTATACTTTTTATTGCTTCAGTTTTATATTCAAAGGCTTTTCATATAAAAATTATATTCCAAAAAACCTTTTAATGTTTAATTTAATTAAATGGTAATTTAATGGTATGGTTAATTTAATGGTTAATGGTTAATTTAATGGTAAATTCCACATAAAGATTTTTTGCATTAATAAAAGATTTAAAACCTTTAATTAAAGAACTTTAAAGTTGATTAAAGATTCCTTCACAATAAACTTTCTTAACAATAATAATATTGTTTTGAAGACTGCATAGTAAAACCTGCAAGTTTTTTAATAAATTATAAAACCAATCGAATGAAATTAATGTCAATATTTATATATAGATCTTTATAAATCTATATTTATACAAATATATATTTATTTAGAGATATTCGTGATCCCAGAAGAGTTGGTCTGTTGAGAATGGAGAATGGTCTTGTTTCATGAGTACGAAAAGAATTTTCATTCGCTTTTGATATAAACATTTTAGCTGTCTTAAGTTGCTACAAAGCCCAATTTGTAAAAATTCTAGAACAAAAAATATTTATTAATATAATCATGGGTCAACGTAACTGTATTGGCCACCTAGTGCAAGTGTCATAAGAAAGTTCAAGTTCTTAATAATGTTTTACATTTATTACTATAAATAATAACAATTTTTTATAATAATATGGTTCCCTGATAGGCTTTCATATTCCCTAGCAGTTCGTTAAATTTATTATAAATTTTATTTAAACACAGATTGTAGTTCTCTCACTTATGAAAGAGACACAAATAATAATTATTTTGTTACAATTTTTATTCTTTTTTTGTTGCAAAACGTATGTGCTTTTATATTATATAAATATTCCAATTATCAATATAATGTGTTTCAAATTGAAATCTTCATATAATTAAATACATCGTTAATGATTTATTATATGTTAATTACATAAATATTCTTCGACACACACAAGCATAACTACACATGGTGACAAAGCAATAAACTAATACAGAATGTTAATAACATAAAAAGAGATTTTTAACGATCTCTTTACTGTAACAATGTATATATAACAGAGTCTTTCGAAAATAAATTATAAATAAATTTTACACAATTATTTTTAATTAATCATTTTTAATTTTATTTAATAATTTTTAATTAAAATTATTAATAAAAATTATGATTAGTATAACGAAAGTAATATACACCGCATATCCAAAATTTCACTACCAGAATCTAAAAGTTGCTGGTAAATCTGAAAAAGATGCCTTAGAAAGTGTTTCGAGCAATATATCAAGAACAAGCCTCTGTTTTCATGCTGAATAAAATTGTTCATATAATGACATTGAAATGCTAAGAAATATTAAAACGGTTCTCTCACTATAAAAGGAGCCTGAGCAAGAGTTTATGGCCTAAAGCTGAAATTTTCAGAACCCCTAAAGACAAATAACATATGTTTCAAATAGAAATGTTTGTGATAGACAGGTATGTTTACTTTAATTTCGAACGTAACTAACAGATTCACAAAAAAGCGATCTTAACTGATAGTTGGGCTAGTCGGAATAAAGGCTCTAAATTGTCCTCACATGACAGCAAGACTGGTGAAAACAAACTTGCCAGAAAAAAAATTCAAAAATCAATCTGTAAGTTGGCAGGAAGTGACAAAGCATCTTATATCGACTAAATAAATATGACTCGATGACTTAAGTTCAATAATATATGTTGTAAGATAGTTGGATTAGATGAATTGCTTTCAATCCATGAAGGGGACACTACAGATATCTAGTTTGCAGTGCAATACTCTTAAACATAATAAAACTAACTATTTCAATGATTATATATAAAAATTTTGTATATGATATTGTATATAACATTAAAGTGTTTTTTTCAGGCTAATTGGTCGAAATTTGTTTTATTGTTTTTAAAAATTTTGAATATAAATTAAGAAAAACGAATCATAGTTCTATTTGAAATTGTGATTTAGATCTGCATTTAAAGTAAATAAAGCAGTTTACCTTACTTTATTCCATGTCTTTGACCGTATTTTTGTCTGAAAAAATTCCTTTCGTTAGCGTAAGTCAGGGTTAAGATAGGATCGCGGCCTAACACAAATGGCTAAGTAGATTGAAGGGACGCAAAAATTAATATATACTTTCATAATTTTTCCGAAGAAATACAAAAATACGGCGATTAAGATAAATTCAGTTTTATTAATTCTTCATTAATCCATTCGACACCAACTTTTGTCCTGTAGATTGAAAAATTTTAGAGTAATATTAATCCTTTTATATTAATTTCAGAAAAATTTAGCAATCGTTTACACATTCTATCACTATTAGCATTATTAATATTAATTGTTACCATACAAAAAATATTTTGTTTAATATATTTTATTACTATAATGTTGTACAAAGATATATATGCAAAGCCTTTGTTGTTGTTGTTGTGATGGTTTTTTGAGTAAGTGCTATTGCGCACGTTTACTCTTTTGTGGATGGGGGCTTATCACTGCCTCACACTAGGCTTTAACTAAGCAGGAATTTATATCATTTATTTATCTTTTAATTGATGACGGACCGTATGTCAGCATATCTTCCTGTGGATCCTGAGGTACACTTGAGGTTTGTTAGGGCAGTTTTGGGCAGCGTATCAACTTTTGTGAATAATTTCAGAACTCTGTCCCTGAAATGTTTTTTCACTGAGTCGATCCTTAGATCTCAATGTATGTTGGTTGTTCTAATATG